CAGAAAAAGAACACAGGCCCCTGTGGCTAGCATTTTTTGATATCAAGGGAGCGTACGATAGCGTGGTTCAAGAGGAGTTGTGGGACATACTGGACACACTAAGCGTAGAAGATGTAGTCACTATTCTTTTAAAGGACATCTATAAAGGTAACAAGGCAATCATAAAGTGGTAAAAACAGGTATCCAAGCCTGCAGAAATAAAACGGGGGATAGGCAGAGGTGTCCCCTGTCACCCTTATTATTCATGATGTACCTACAAGGATTAGAGGCCAAATTAGAGGGAAGTGGACTACGCTTCAACCTCTCTTTCGTCAAACAAGGAAAACTCATTGAACAGGCACTACCAGCATTGATGTACACAGATGATATAGTGCGAATGGCCGACAACAAAGAAGATTTGCAGAGATTGGTGGACATCTGCGGTAATGAGTGAGATAGGTTAGATTTCAGATTCAGTAAGAAAAAATCAGCAGTCATGATTTTTAATGATAATGAAAATAGTGAGCTTAGGATACAGGAGGTCATGCTAGAGATAACAAATAAATACAAATATCGGGCGTATGGATAAGCAATGGGGCAGAGTACCTAAGGGAACACGAAATATACATGTCGACTAAAGGTAACAGGAATGTAGCGGTAATGAAAAACAGGGCACTGTGGAATTACAATAAGTAAGATGTTGTTAGAGGAATATGGAAAGGGGTCATGGTTTCTTGTCTGACGTTCGGCACTGCGGTCTTGTGCATGAGATCAGAAGTTCAAGCAAGATTAGAAATTAAGCAACGTAGAATATGTAGGCCTGCCTTAGGAGCTCACGGGAATACACCAAATCAGGGAGTACAAGGTCATATGCGATGGACATCATTCGAGGGCAGGGAAGCTAGCAGCAAGATAAAATTTGAGAAGATATTGAGAGAAATGGGGGAGGAGCGTTGGGCTAGGAAGGTATTCAGCTACTTGTACATGAAGAATGTCGATACAAAATACAAGAAGCAAACCAGAAAATTGACTGGTAAATACTTGGAAAACAGCAGGGGGCCAAACCAAAAAAAAATTATCGTTTAAGAACAAGGTGAAGGAAGCTGAGACTGATATGTGGAGAATTCGCACGATGAAGAAGTCCGCACCAGAGATCTATCGAACTTTTAAGCAGGAAATTTCCAAGGAAAGGATCTATTATAATACTCGGGGTAGTTCTCTACTGTTTGAGGCCAGGACGGGAGTATTGCGAACCAAGACATATCGGGCCAATTACAAAGGGATAGACACGGTATGCAGTGCGTGTGGAGAGGAAAAAGAAACTGCTGAACAATTGAAAATGTTCTGTAAAGGGCTTCACCCAATAGTTCAGGATGATGGCGCAGAGTTTTTCAAAGCACTGGGGTTTAGGGAAAGGGTGGGCAAAATAGACTTTAAGCGGGTAGAAATAACTAGAAGGAGGTTATTCGATTGTTGACTAAAGTGAAGGCACGAGTGAAAATTAACCCTTCACTGCAAAGTACGAATCCTAAACCTCAATATTTAAGGGGAAAAATAAATCTAGTTTTTGGTTCATGAAGTATTACGGCTTGCTGGCGCTAGCCACCGCCCGATGTAGAGGGTACAGCCATATCCATCCATCCATCCATCCATCCATCCATCCATTCATCCATCCATCCATCCATCCATCCATACATCCATCCATCCATCCATCCATCCATCCGTCTGTCCGTCTGTCCGTCCGTCCGTCCGTCCGTCCGTCCGTCTGTCCATCCATCCATCCATCCATCCATCCATCCATCCATCCATCCATCCATCCATCCATCCATCCATCCATCCATCGATCCATCCATCCATGCATCCATCCATCCATCCATCCATCCATCCATCCATCCATCCATCCATCCATCCATTCATCCATCCGTGTTGCCCTGCGTGAAGTCACTCTAACTCTGTGAATGCACTGTAGAGTGCTTCTATGTTCTCCTTCGTAAGCGTGAGAGGCGATTTAGAAGGACATTCCATCCATCCATCCGTGTTGCCCTGCGTGAAGTCACTCTAACTCTGTGAATGCACTGTAGAGTGCTTCTATGTTCTCCTTCGTAAGCGTGAGAGGCGATTTAGGAGGACATTGACGCATTCTAACGCAATGCTTGCAGCCAGAAAACTATCATCTTTTGACGTCCTTCGCAGTGAAAAATGAAGTTATGAGCCACGTTTTTAAATGCGATATCAATAATATGGACACTCTCAGCTATATTTGGCTGCCGTAGTCACTTTCTTTCACTGTATATGTATACGTATCTATATGTTAAAGCACAAGAAAGAAAAAAAGCCCAGAAAAAGACTGCGGTGCGCAGAATGGATCGTCGGACCTCTGAAATATGAGTGCCAGGTGTTAGCCACTGAGCCGCGAAGTAGCACCTCCTTCAGCATGCAAACGGCAAGCTATTTATACCTACTACTTACCTCTGACGATGGACATCTGCAGAGAACTACTATCGTGTTTTTAGCATTACCAGCGAGATGGCGCAATGAGTGCACATCACCAGATCATCACGACCTGGTGGTGTGCGCTGTCATCTCCCACGCGTACTTCGCCCCGCGGAGAGAGGACGCTCTCGCATGCACTCGCCTAGCTCACGGCGGGCACAATCTTACGCCTTGGGCTTTCACAGGAACAATTCAGTTGTAGTTACCGGGCGCTCAATGGCCTCTGCACTTATTGCACAGTCTAAGCTTGCGAACAGGGCACGCTTTTCAGAAAGAGTGAAGTAAGAACTGAGAAGCTTATTCGCGTTGATTTGTAACTGTAAGTTCCTTTTGTGCGTCATTTGTGCGTGAGAAAATGCGGTGCACGTTTTGATCTGCTTTCCAAATTTCGCATGAGCTTCCAATTTGTTGCTATTGCGTTCGTTGTTTCGCCTTTGTGGGAAAGCTGTCACGTTTCTTTTTGTTATTTATTAGCGTTAAATTTACAGCGTCATATCCGTGAGTGAAACACGTCACTGAAGTCTTGCTCGACCCCGGCATAATATACTTTCATGTTGCAATACCAGAAGTTATTCTATTATTTATTGCGCGCGTGCGGTAGGTCTCTCCATTCTACCATATAGTCTAAGCACGTCAGTACGCCTTACCATGATTACGACAAAATGAGGCTACCATTAGTGAGTCTGGTTTCAAAAGAATTCACTATAGGGAAGTGAGGGAGATCCTTCTTGATCCACGTATTTTTACTATTCTTTCACTAGCATGAGTGGCTCTTCATCTAGCTACATGGTAATACGCACAAGCGTACCGTAGGACTGAACTTGGGTACAACTGCTCTTCTTCTGGCATAATAATGATATTGTCAACAGTTCTTGAACTCCTTCAGTGGTTATTTATGCAGAAGACACAAATATTTTCTTTCCTGAGTATGATATAGATTGAGTAGTAAGCGGCACAAACACGTGGCTGGCTTGACGGTCAAAATGGCTCACAGCAAGTAAAATAGAGCTCAGTGTACACAAAACAAAGTTTGTATTATTCAGACCAAAAAACAAAGCTATTGATAATAAACCCCTTAATTTTTCGCAATGATGCTGCATCGCACATAGACTCTAAGGTTTTAGGTGTAATTTAATTACACGTAAAGGACAGATAACGGTAACTATGTATGTTCTAAAGTCTCCAGTTCTATTGGTATGATGTATAAATAAGAAATTTGTTGGCCCTATAGTTCAAAAAACGAATGTACTGCGCTCTTGTGCAATCATACCTTCATTACTGTTTATTGGTTTTGGAAAGTACTACACAATCTAATTTGTGATCACTATTTGTTTTACAAATAAAAAGCCATTCGATTCATTAGTAATATGATATATCGAGACAGTACAAACGCACAATGGAGCAAACTATGTATTCCAAACAGACTCGACATGAAAACCTTGCGGCTAGCTCTTGAGCCACATCGCTTACTTAAGAACGACATAACCTTTTCACTCACTTTACACGATCGTCAAGAAAATTTACCATATACATTCCGACATGTTAGCGTCAGGAATGACAGCATACGGACAAACTATGTTTCGCAAACGTTGCACTACCAGGTTACGACACTCTTGAAAAGCAACAAAAAGATACAAGAAATAATATAAATCACAAAGCACGAATAATAATAAAGCGTCAATTGAGTCAACTACTTCGTTCGAAGCTTTTTAATTGTGTTTAATTCTGTACATATTGCATGCTAATTCCTTTCAATGTTCTCGGTCTCAACAATGATAAGTTTGATTAAATGTTTACCCGTAAAATGTTCTTTTTTATCTTTTTATGTGTATTCAAAGTTGCACGTTAACTACTAGTTACTTTATGTAAGATTTGCTGTCATTGCTTCCGCGCAAAATGTTGTTTCAGATTGAAGGGCCTCGTCAGGCGTGAATCCTTTTAGTCCTCCCTTTCCGCAGTGAAATTTCTTTGCACTTGAATAAAATCAATTTATTCATTCATTCAATGAACGAAACGCCGAAAAGGTCACCTGTCTTGCAATAAAACAATAGGACTTTTCATATTAGTCATCTTGTTCATTTGAGAAGTGTTTTCTTTTTTCTTTCGCTTTTTTGATTTGTTTACTTCAGAGCTACATTTACATGTCCTGCTTACCATATGGTGTACCACAGGTTGACACGCAAAGAATATTTTAAACTTGCGGATGCAGATACCTATCACTTGTCAGTTATGTTAACACAGATATTTGCAGCCAATAATTAAATGTATTTTATTTCGAGCTTTCTAGCTGCTGTACTGATAGTTTCACACGTGAGCTACTAAAAGTGGCTGCATTGTGAGAGACCTACTTAGAAAAGAAGGGCGTGACATAGCCGAAACGTTTTAAAAGTATTTCGTGTTTAATCTGTGCTACGTGCGAGTTCATTCACTCTATATATATATATATATATATATATATATATATATATCTTACCAACGACAATCTAGCGCAAGTGTATTTTGGGTGTCTTTTACTTCTTCCGTGACAGTGAACGGGATGACCAGCCAGTGCGACACATACACGGTGGAAGTCCTCGGTAATGGCACTGTCACCATTACCAACGACACTATGGTGCGCTGCTCCAGTTGGGAGTATGAGTTAGGGGACCACACGAATACGATGACCAATGACGTAAGTTTTGTGTTTGTTCTTTCATTTCACAATGACGTGGTGCAGTGGTATTTTGTTGCTGACCTAAATGGCACGGGTTTGATCCTGGCCGCTACGGGTGCATTTTCGAGGTAGGCGACAATGCTGAAGGCGCTCGTTCTTAATTAGGCGCACGTTAAAGAGCCCTAATGTGGTCGGGATTTCGCACAGGACATTCAAAAATATGTATGATGAACTTGTATGATCAAGTAGGTGATAGAGACAGCATATCAACCTTTAGAGAATAATACCTCCATAGAATATGAAAGTACATTTTATTCGGTCGAAGTAGCAGCAGTCATGCAGGCACTACGGCATCAGGGCATCCACGACGTCTACATAAATATACTGGATGAAATCTACAAGGGATGCACAGCTACCATAGCCCTAAATAAAAAATCAACAAAATCAAAACAAGGAAGGCTGTTTGGCTGGGAGACATGACCTTTCCAATGAATAGGCCGTGTGCTTACAGGAGCTTTTCGAAGCCCTAGATTGAAAAGAGTTAGCCCTTTGGTCACGGTATGTGAATAGTGCCGTCGATGAAATGCAGGCCATGATTGTCAAGATACCGCCTAATAATAATGCTCGGAATAGTCTCAAGCTGCAGTATCACGTGGTACAGTCGTGAGCTGCAGTGTCGATTTCGGTGTAGAGCAAACTAGCGAACTAACCGCGAGCACACCATGAGCGTGGCGATTCGCTAGTCGCAACGTACATGACATGCCAATCATGATTTTCAGGTTAAAACCTGAAATTTCGGCTCTTTTACAAATATAAGTAGTCATAGCAATTTTGGTTTACATTAATTAATTAGGCAAGCAGGAGGGCTCTGAAACCATGTCGTGTAAATATTGTTGTAGATAGAGCTGTGCACTGCGACCCATTATTGCCTACGCCGTTCTTGTCAACGCTGACGTCCCGAGAGAGACCACACCACCACCACCACCGCCGCCGCGCAATAATTGCGACTCACGGTCATCATTACCTGAGCTAGGAAGCTGGGCATAAAATACATGATTCCCGTTTTTTCTGCAGCTTGAAAATTTTGAGAGTGGCGTTTGCGGTACCTTGTGTCTATGTTATGGAATGACTCTAAAACAGCTACTCAAGATACACGATTGTGCAGCATGTTATTCTCTCTCGGCGTTTCTTGTACATTTAGCGCGCTTCGTGATGCGTGAGCGGTGAGTCACGTGAACCGCCCCCCCCCCCCGTTCTTCTTCGCGTCTCACATCAATATGACGTGTGATGAACTTAGGATTTCGCTGCATTATGTGACTGGGATTGCGCAAGTGTAATAATAGAATGTAGGCCACAAGCTTGAAACTCTGTTAGGCTCAATGCTTAGCGCTCACATATTGTACACGTGCTTTATTAAGACGTAAAAGATACAGCGTGTAAGAATTATAGTACAGGGAGTGCAGTGGAGTGTATTGAATAACAAAAGCAAAGTAAAGGGCTCCAGATTATTTCATTCTCCCAACGGACGTATTCTTTAGTGAGGCCGACGCAGCTCGCCATAAAAAAGGCAAGCCAATTCAAAGTTTCTCTGTATATTTTTTAATTGCGAGGAAATATTGTATGGACACTCTACAGGCTTTTGTCGTCGTTGTCATAATCTGTCCAAAGTCAAAATCAATTACTTTTGTACGAACACTGTATGCTGTTCCCGCAAATAAATTTCGCCAGCGCGAAGAGGAACACTGCTGAAGCGTAAATGAAACAAGCTGTCTATCTCCATCGCCCGGAAGATGCATGCGATTACATCACTTTACATGCGGTTTCTGCCATCAATTGCTCCCCAACCGAAAAGGAAGCACTGTCTGTTTCTTGCTGGACGAAGGAGTGGGTAGGATGCTGCGTGGCTCGATTCTCAACTGTAAACTTTGATTATCAGAGCGCAATCGCAAGTTCTTGCATGCGCTATTTCAGCAGACATCAGTCAATAGCTCGCGTACCGTTCCTTCTACACGCTAGATTATCACATTGTGAAAAACTCTTCATTTGAGCAGTCGTACTCCTATGGACCAGCGTCTTGCGGTTTCTCGATATCAGATGAAAAAATAAATCTAGCTGCAGCCTAAGTAACACGGGACTGCGTGCTCCTATCGCATGGTGCAAATTGTGAAGTCTTCAAAGGCTTTTCTGACCATAAAACTGTTGAAGTGACATGAAACTTTGCGTGTTCTCCTCAAAGAACTTAGTTCAAAAACGTTTTGAACTTTCCTAAAGTCAATAAAACTTCGGTACCTGACACTTTAGCCTCATGTTTTCAGGAATTTGAATTTTGTTGCAAATTTCGCTATGTAGATGCGCTCTTTATTACGTCTTGTGACATTGTGCGTGAATACCTAGTATGTGCCCCCGTCATGGTGGTCTAGTGGCTAAGGTACTCGGCTGCTCACCCGCAGGTCGCGTGATCGAATCTCGATAGCGGCGACTGCATTTTTCATGGATGCGACAATGCTGTAGGCCCTTGTGCTCAGATTAGGGTTCACGTTAAAGAACCCGAAGTGGTTGAAATTTCTGGAGCCCCACACTACGGCGTCTCTTATATTCATATTGTGATTTCAGGACGTTAAACCCCAAATATTTAAAAAATCACTCAATCCAACTACGTGCCTCAAGAACATGTGTAATGCAACTCAAGACACTTATGGTTCCATAAAGATATACTTAATCTCACTTGTTGCATAAAGCGCTTACCTCATTTCAGGTGCAAAGATAATGGTTCTTAATTTATGGCACTGAAATATACGTTAGTAGCTAAAAGAAAGAGGCAAAAAATACCTCTAAATCACTGCCTTCACTACATTTATGAGAAAAAATACACCCAGGTTAGAGATCATTTAGTCCTGCATTGTCTATGACCTCATCGTTTACTCTTGGCGTCCAATCCTCCTCAAATACTCAAGCTTTAGGAAATGCATTTATTAATTACCTCAAATCTGTATTTTCAACCTATAACGAGATCACTTCTTTATATTCCGCGTGGAGCAATCAACCCACTCTTCCTAATTTGAACTAACCTCCTCAGGAATACATAACCTTTAATAAATCTCGAGGTTTTCAAACCATCTCGCCCAGATTTTATTGTAACTATGTTTCTATGGTAGTATTCGAATTCCTGTAATGACTATGTTTCAATAATATTGAATAAAGATGATATTTGCAACAGTTCTCCAGCCATTGAAATCAGTAATCATTGAACCCGTATAGCTCCGGAAACAAACAAATTATACCAATTACAGGTAAATATTTTTGCTTTCAACCAACCGTAAATCTTTAGGGCATATCATTAACAAATCTCTTATATATACCTAAACGCACCCAATTCATTTTCAACCGACTATTCTGCTTAACACAGTTACAACAATTTACGCATTACATTGACTATTCGCTGAACGACCGAAAACAAGTTTACGTGATGAGCGATGATAGTTGAAGGTCTCTGACATGATGGCCATGCTAATATTCTTTTTACAATTTTTGCGCCATGAAGCTGGTTGATTGAATAGCACGTTAGTTGCTTTAACGCTCAAAAGTTGCTGCGTTATAACCACGCGAAGTCATGTGAAGTACATATTGCATCAGTAAGAGGCCTCAAGCTTCGGTGCTTGGTGCGCTTTTGTTGATTGTTTATGTAAGTGACAGAGTAGAAATTGTCAGTAATACTGAAATTGAACTTAGAATGCTTAAGACGACTGCGCTGTCGTAGAACCATCTCTAATACTCAAGATTAGGTTGCGCTGAATAGTGTTACTTTTTCACCGTTTGGTAGCGGGATTGAAACGTGGCAAACATAAAAAAAAACTAGTGACGACCTTTTCGAATAAGAAACAGCCCCTTTATTTTATACATAGCCCCACTGCGGTGGTCTAGTGGCTAAGGCACTAGGCTGCTAATCCGCAGGTCGTGGAATTGAATCCCGGCGAAGGCGGATGTAATTTAGATAGAGGCGAAAGTGCTGTAGGTCCATATGCTGAAGTTTGGGATCACGTTAAAGAACAAGTAGTCGGAATTTCCGGAGCCCTCCACTACGGCGCATTTCATAATCAAATCGAATGGCGGTTTCGGGACCCCCACATATCAATCAATCAATGGTTTTAGATATGCTAACGACAGTGTAAGTGTAGTATTTGTTACGTAGCCTAAATACAATAAGTGTAACTACTACAGGAAATTTAAAATATCATACGCAGGTCGAGACAATTTCTAACTAGCACTTCCAGTACTTCGGTGTCTCCGACGCACGTTAAGCTTCTCGATAAAGGAATGCTGACTGGCAGTGCACAAAACTTCTGTTAGAGTCAAATATGCGTTGGATGTTTGGTCACTTCACCAAAAACTTGACATAACTATGTTAGGATCAGTTCTAAAAATCAATACTGCTTTAAAATTTGTCACTATGACCACCTTTATACGCTTACTTTACATGCGCATGTTTATCGTGGAAGCCCTACTCGAATATTGGCGCACTTGCAATGGTGTCGTCCTCCTGCATAAGATAGTTCACCCTGTGGTTCAAGTGTTCTAGCACCCATATCATTTGCTTTATCTTCTGCACACTACACCCGGTGATTTGATCCTCCAAGTATTATGCTTGTTAGGTCAAGCCAGAATTCTTCTCGCTTTCTTTTGCTTGTTCTTAGTTTGCTTTTCTGAGAAGGTGCATTTTTAGATTGAGCCATATGAGTATCTGCGCAGACTCGGTGCTAAGCAAGTAAAAAAATACAACTGCGTAAGCATGTATTTTGTTAAGTTGTATCTTTCAAGGTGCAGAAAATTTGTATTCACACCTGCTAAGCCCCGAAAACTGAGACAGCAGTGTCACGTTGTCCGCGTCGCCCTTTCGGAAAAACATATTATTTTTTTCAAAATTAATGGGACAAGTTTCTCTCGCCAACAAATCCTAAATGTTGACTCTCCTCTCCCCCTCCCCGCCCCCCCGACACGATGAACCTCACGCCATTTACGCC